TGGTGGGGTGTTTCCACAATACAACTGCCATAGCTATAAACAGGACACATCCAACCGCCCATCAGAATGAGCTCTTTCTTGCCATTTCCCCTTGTATCTGTTCAACAGGATTAGTATTTATGTTTTCACTTGGCCCTTACATTCTGGATCTGATACTTAACCTTATTATACCATCTGCACCCTGGGCGATTCCCAGTTAGAGGTTTTTTCCCCGCTCTCTTGCTTCAAGCTGGTGGAGCCCCGGTCCCTCAGGATGTTGGGTATACAATTCCTTTGGACTCCACAGAGAGCTAGAGCACTCAGCCCCTTGCAGGATCAGGTCTGGATTGTACCTCCAGTAAGATACTTATTCCTGTGATTGTCTTACTATTTTTAAGACCAGACTTAAAATCTCTCTCTCGTGTCTAATTATTTTTGGTGTTTTATGTTCAGCTTGATATGGCTGAAGGGTGCTTTATAAAAATCAATACACACATTGACAAGAGAGCCTAGGGGTGGGGGAAATGGGAGCTAAGAATGGCGGTCACCTTAAAAAAAAAGGGGGGGGGGAAAGAGTCTCTGTACAAAACAGAGCACAAATATACAGACTGCATGTGGAGATTCAGATGCTTAGTCATCGCAAACATGGTACAGGTGATTCTATTGATTAAGTTTTCAGACTTTGTAGGAGGGAAGGTATATGTGGGAGTCACATTACTTGCTAATGGGATTTGTGCTTTTCAAATGTCCCACAGGAATCCAGCGCTCCGAGCATTTACAAACACGGTGATCAAGCTTCTAAGCCCTTGATTTTTGCACCCACTGACGTCAATGGGTGGGATGCCCTGTCCTCGGAATGTTTTCTGTGTTTGATTTGCTGTTTTGTCTTGGCATCAGCGACACGGCGTAGCCTAACATGGAGGGTTCTAGCTCATGGCTCCTACCTCAAACTGATTAATGTTTGGACTGAGCTGCTGCACTGTCCTGAATTTTACAGCCACAATGGGTGGCTGGTATCTCCCTCTTCCCCTACAAAATAGGCAAATGTCCATTATTTGCTACTCAGCTCTATTTATTTTTAGCCACACTTCAATGGCAAAGTATTTTAAGATAAGATTTGCCATGCCGGGTCAGGTCATACATCCACCTAGTCTGGTATCTTACCTCTGATCATAGCCAATACCCAATGCTTCAGAGGAGAGCAAACATCTTATAACACATCTCTTTTTTCAATACTATAGCACAGGAAACAGACAAGAATGTCCTTTTGCTGCTCTCCACAATAGATCAGCTTTGCACCCTGAAAGCATGAGCTTGATTAAAAGGTATTTCAAGTAGAACATTTTGAATTACATTTGTTTTATTATTTTCCTAAACTCCCGAAGGTGGGAAACAGAATCGTCCACAGAGCTGTTTGCCATATTTAACATTTTGTGCCGTGGATGGGAGAGTAAATGATATAGGTTGCGAGTATTTTAAGTTACATTTCCTTGATCTTGGTTTATTTGGTTATTTATCAGATTATGTGTCAATAATCAGATACGTAACGGTAACAATAATAGCACAGGTTTCCATGTTTGGTTTCTCAATGTCTTATATGAAACTTGCTCAGCTTACAAGCCTGAAGTCCCCCCCTCCCTCACTGCAACCTGAACCTGGAATCTAAAAATCCAGTTGAGTTCTATCTGCCTCCTACACCAGCACCAATAATAAAGAGTCCACAATTAGAACGTAGTTGACATTTTTGTCAGCATGCAGGCAATAAGATCCATCGCTGCAGGGCCAACAGCAGTGAAAACATGTTTTGATCAGTAAGGCAAAGAAACATGGCTCAAGAGACAGAGCCAAACATTAAGTGGCTGGGCACCTGCAACTTCTATTGTTTCGAGAGTTGCAAGCCTCTCAGATTCTTGCTCAAGAGAGCAGATGCTCAGAGCTAAGAAAGTGCCACTTATACTCAGTCATAGTCACACTGCATTGTGTCTTCATACTGTAATGTCTAACTCTCTCTACAGGCAACTCCTCTGCAGTTTCAGTATTAATGGTCATTGGTAAATAACCTAGAGTATGTAGCAAGCTAAGATTTCAACTGCCAATAAGTTAACTCTTACCTGGGTTTGGGAAGGCCTAAAAGTAGAGTCAAAGCCATGCTGCAGAGAGTCCAGAAAAGGCTGAATTTTGTAGAGGCCGTGTGTCATCTGGCTGGAACGGAAGGCCACAATGTGGAAGTACTTCAGGATTTTCTCAAACCGTGGCTGTGTCATGATCAGCGCAATGCTCTTGTTGCTGTAGAAGCCACTGCTCCAAATGCTGAGGACAGACTCGCAGTGGTGAATGCTTGTTGAGATCATGTAGCCTAGGAAGGCTTTCATTTCTGTTAGCGTGACTTCCATCCAGGCATCATCTTTCCCAAATCTCTCCTGGTACTTCTTGGCATACATGTTGGTTTGTACCACCATGTTCTTTAGTACATTGTCAGGGACAAAGAGCTGAAAAAAGTCCATGGCACTGGCAGTTGGGGGCATTTTATGGGTTGGACCTAGAACAAAAGTGGGGAAAAAACAAGCTCATTTCTGATTAACTATTCATCATAGTGGTTAGTTAGATTGATAACTAACAACTATTAGATCATCCAATCCCTTGCTTCAGCCAGTGCAGGAGAGTTTCCTACAGTACATTGTCTAGTCTTTACATAAAGTCCCAAGTGATGGAATTTGGGCCACTTACCTTGTTAGGCTATCCCACCGAATAAATGATCTGTGTCAAAAATGTTTTCCTAATATTCAACCTTAGTTTCATATAAATTATTTCTGGTTACACCCCATATATCACTCTAAATAGTTCCTCTCCCTCTTCAGTATTATGCCCTTCAGCTATTTATAGACTGTCAATTCCTTCCTAGGCCTAGTCTACACTTAAAATTTAGGTCCGCATACCTACAGTGCTCAGGGATGTGAAAAATCCACACCCCTGAGCAATGCCGATCTAACCCCCAGTGTAAATGCGGCTAGATAGATGGAAGAATGCATCCATTGACCTAGCTACTATCTATCACTGAAAGCGGTGTCTATACTACAGGGTTATGCCGGCATAGCTGTAGTTACATTGCTGTGGTGTACACATGGCCTTAGTCTCTAAGCCAAGCTATACATATTTAGCATTCTTAATCTTTCCCCATAGATCGGTCCTTCTAGCCCCCAGTTGTTGTCATTGCTCCTCTCTGAATTCTCTCCAGTTTGTCTATCTTCTAAAGAAGATGGTACCACAAATGCAATATTCTAGGATCAGGCACATGACAGCCATATTGAGAGAGGTTCTTGCCTCCATGCAAGGTGACATAATTCCCCTGCAGTCAAAACTTGAATGGCTTTTTTTGCTCCTATACTGCATTTCAAGCGCCTGTCAAATTTGCTGTCCACTATCAGCCCTCTGTCTTCAGTGTCACCATTGGATGCTATTACCACTACCTTGCTGGTTATTACATACACATTGGTGCAACATTACATAAATCACCACAGTATCTAGGCCATGGTATCTGTGAATCTGATTTAGTACCCCCTGAAATCTATGAAAACAATAAGGAGTCTGGTGGCACCTTAAAGACTAAGATTTATTTGGGCATAAGCTTTCGTGGGTAAAAACCTCACTTCTTCAGATGCATAGAGTGAAAGTTACAGATGCAGGCATTATATACTGACACATGGCAAGAAGGGAGTCTCTTCTCGCCATGTGTCAGTATATAATGCCTGCATCTGTAACTTTCACTCTATGCATCTGAAGAAGTGAGGTTTTTACCCACGAAAGCTTATGCCCAAATAAATCTTAGTCTTTAAGGTGCCACCAGACTCCTTATTGTTTTTGTAGATACAGACTAACACGGCTACCCCCTGATATCTGAAATCTATGGAATTTTGTCATTGATTTCAATCAGAGCAAGATCAGGCCTTTGTAGAACAAACTAAAACACCATATGGACAAGTTTTTCCATCTTGCATTATATACAATTCTTGTTGAGATATGTTCCTTATTCAGCACATCACCCACATAAAGGATAAACCTTGCACTTCCTCCCTCTAGTTACTTTGTTTTTTGACTGAACTGCAGAGAAAATGGAAAGTTTTCAAGCCTTTATTTTATTCTAACAGGAAAAAAAATACAAGGTATCCTGAAAGCATGCTGATTACTGTTATGAGCCTTAGGTTCTTAACTCAGTACCATGTCTCCTACACCCTTAGCATGTGTACAGTCTCCTGTCCATCTAATGACTTTTGAGCAGACATTAGCATTTGAAATTCTGGTTAATAACAGGAAAGTGTTTTCCTTGCAGTATGTGACTACTTGGGTCCTGATTCAGCTTGAATGTCAAAGGCTCGAAGAAGAGAAGTGTGAAGTCCTGTGGCTTTGGATCATAAAGATTCATTAAAACCTCTTTTGGTTTTGGACTGCATGGTTTGTACTCCCTGGATTTCTCCTTGAGGGCTTCCTCTTAACTTGGCAATAACAGAGATCAAGGGCTAACTTGGCATCAAGTTGTGTTTGCTTTATATACCTTGTTTCGGCTGCAGTCTGTGTTAAGCTCAAGTTATTTAATTATTGCCTAGTAAACAAGAAGAACCTTTAGGATATTCTAACTCCATCAAAAATGACAAAGAATGTTAAGGTTGCAAAATTAAGCTATCAAGAGTGAAGAAATGCCAGGGGGAAAAAGTGAACTTATTTTATGAGAAAAGCTAATAATATAGGTAGAATTTTATATTCTAGTAGGTGATTATATTGTATGCAAAATAGTGCAGACCTATCAGCAGCTGAACTGTTATACACTTTACCAAAACAGGGGGGAAAAAAAATCAATACACTGTGCAGAGACCAAGTGGAAACGTTCATCATAAATAGTGCATGTTTTTCGGATGTAACTGAGAACAGGGAGTTATAATGGATACATTTACGTAACCCAGACTATAACCGTCACTGCTGTTCTCTTTATCATAATAAAGCCGGTTACAAA